GAGTTATTTGGCCCATGGCTGCGCACCTGGGCCATGTTCAAGATTGCGCTCGTGAAGTTATGTAGCTTAGAGAGCAGGAGATGTCGTGCGGACAGGAGCGTCTATTGTATGTTCTTGAGCGGCCCTTCTCCTACTACCGCTACCGTCCATGCGCAATGTGGGTCTGGCTGCGCTGTCATCGGCCCGCCGAATCGACTGCGACCATTGTCGCGCGTCTCGCATGTCTCCTTATCGATAAGTAACGATTTCAAAACATCCATGGATACCTACAATACTCGCCATTACCTTTCATGCCCGCTTACATCTTCGCACTCGGGTGTAATGCGCGTCTCTCTGCCACGTCTCCCAATTGTGCACCAATTGCCGCGATCCGGCCGCCGCCTTGGCCCCGCACTTTCGCGTACGCTCCTCAATCCAGCCTAGTCCGAGATCCTCTAGGAACGGTCAACAAAAGAACCGCCGCGACTGCGAGCGGAAACAACCCATCTCACAAGGATTCGTGGGTCGTAACATGATGTACGGAAGCGCGATTGCTCCGACAACTCCGATAATAGTGGAGTTGGATAACCCTCATGGTAACCTTGGAAATGTCTCGCCTCGCGATCCATCCCCGAAGCGACATAGGCATGGTATACTAGGCGTTCTAGCTGGGTATACGTTCTTGTATAATCGATACATTCGGAAAGCCCTCGGTGGTGGCGTCCGGCTGGAATGCTGGCTTATGCATTCTACCGAGAAGCCCCGTGGAATGTACGCTCGTGGCAGTTAGAGCCAACAGGGCATTTAAATGAACTTATCGCTCCTTCCAACGGCGTTGGGAGAAGATTGAGATAGCGATATAAGAAGGTACCATTCACTCCTCGATACCTCGGACGTACCCTCCTCACCATCACCATACCCATACACCTTCTATACTTCCTACGTTTTCTACGATAGCAGTCCCAACCTATCCCGCACTGCGAAAAACCTCCAAGATGGTGCTCCCCTACTTCACCGCCCTCGTCTTCGGCACCATGCTCCCGGGCCTCAACCTAACCCAATACGCCGACCACTACGACAACGTCCACATCCCACTCGTCAAGTCGCTCACGGGCTCAAACTTCCCCGTCATCCACACAAGATACTACGTTGGCGGTAACCCTGCCTTTGTAAACGCCAGCTCCCCCGTCGACTACGACTCCATGGCAACCATGCAGTTTCGAGACATGACGCATGCGTTGACGTTCATGAGCATCATCAGCGCACCGGAGGCGGCGAAGAAGATTGCGGAGGACGAGCATTTGTTTATGGCATGTGCACCGAGGACGGTGATTGTGGGGACGGATGGGAGTGTGACAGGGCCGTAGCGGGTGCAAAAGAAACGTGAATGGGGTATCGTGGCCATGATTAGGATTTGAAATACTGAATCATTACTACCATAAAGGTCAGGGCAAGATAAGCTAACGTGAAGACGTGAGACCACAAAGTTTTCCTTAGCCAAGGATTATAGTCTCCGGCTGGAAGTGATCCCACCAGCAGCAGTCTGGCATCGCAGTAGACGGAATTTCTGTTTCTGCGTAATAAGGTGAACCTTCTCTGAACTGTGGTCCAAAGATACGGTTGAACTTGTTCACGAGACCAAAGGTTGGAGTGTTATAGTTATCACAGTGCTCGCCAAAATTTGCGGGCAGTCGAGTGATACCTATTCGTTTGTAATGGTTTCCGTGTTGCTCAAGTATGAGAACATGAGCGTGCAACTTGTCCACGGTGGATTTGGTAAATTCTGCCCCGGGCAATAGAACACACTTCAACAACGTTTCGTTTCCCTTGTCCGGAGGAAGGTCCCAATACACCTCCGCGATAGCATTCCATCCATTACCCAGTGGTATTTCAATCCCTGATTGGTTTTTGCCATACCCCTTGTCCTGAGTTGCGAACTGGAAATTGCACATTGCGGTTCGTGCTTCTACTTTGAGGTACTGCGAGAGTTCTTCTGGTGTGTATTCGTCGGGGTTAGCTGGAGCATACAGCTTGTGGAAGTCCTTGTTGGACTTTACTTGTACAATTTTTGCTTCCGGTGAGACGTAGGTTGACCGGCCGCGTATGCTCCGAAAGTACCATCGGATTGGGTTTTTCCATCCGAGGGGCGACCAACTGGGGAAACCTTCGCGGCGCATGCCTGGCTCGTCGTGGTTCCACAATAATGCTATGTCGATATCCCGTCTAACACTGCGGCTAGTTGAGAGAAAGTCCTTTAAACCAGGTGAGTAGTCTGCCGAGGAGCGTTTCCAAGGGACTCCCCAGATGTGCTGAACACCGAATCTGGCGTAAGAGTTCATCGCACCAGTTATGGCGTTGAGCGCATCTGCTTCGAAGGATAATTTGCGAGCGCTGTATTGCCTCAATACCTCCATTGACGCAATCATCGTGGCAGCCGCCTCGAGTTTTGCGGTGTTGGCAAACCACCCTGGTAGTTCCCGGTGAGCGTCCTCGGAGGGGCCGCCGCCGCCATGGGGTCTATCTGCCTCGTAGTAGGAGTCTGTGCCACAAATGAAGATGACTTGTCTGTCGGTGAAAAAGAGACGCCGTTTTGAGAAGTAACACTCTTGGAAGGTCCTGAACGCATAGTCAGCTCGTTATGAGCATGGTGTGATGACCGGACGTCTTACCACGCTCGCGAAGCCCACGAAGATGATGCCAACTTTCGAAGGTTCCAGCTGGGGCTTGTTTGAGGTAAATGGTATAACCGCACAGATCTCGTGGATGCGCAATAGGAGGAGAAGCCCCGAGAGTGTGGCCGTACTCCAGGAAGCCCATGATTCGAGTCATTGCCAGCCGCAGCGAAGATGGTAAACTGCGCTGCTGCATATATATCTGCCATCTGCATAATTTGGTGTTGCTTCGCGTGTGCGTCGGACTGATCGATGCACTGAACATTTAGCAGACTGAAGCAGGGATTGCAAGGCACTGAGGTCTACCTACATATCGGTCGACCCAGAGGTATCTGTATCCCAATAATAAGGTTGTCTCAATAGCGTCTTCGACAGTTTTTGGGGTAATCTCCCGGGTGTTGGTCGAGCCGACCTTCTTGCCTTCTTGGCCCCAGACATACGACAATGCTGCGTATCGACATGCAGGCGGCGCAGGAACGACCCTTCGATGCTCACAATCAATGACTTCTAAATCCTTCAGACCATCGGTCGGTCTTGGGCGACACTGGTGGCCATGTTTTTCGATGCAGATATCCAGCCAAGACTTCAAGAGAGCAGCGTTAACGCCAGCTGGATATAGAGTTTGGCCAGTGTCTAGCAACGGCTTCTTCACCGTTGGTAGATCTTTAGGGATTGCATATCTAGAGAAGGCTTTCTCTAACACTTCTCGAGTCACCTGAGATGTTGGTTGGCAGGCAAGTACGATGCCACCGAAATGGTCGGCATGCTCGGGCGCCGAATGGTCGACTTCGAGAAATGCTGACGGAAGATCCAAGCCCAAACCAGCGGCATAATGAGGAGTTATCTCGAAGCGTCGTCCATTTTTGGTACCCAGGACGCAATCTTTGAGAACCTTTGCGAAGAATCGGCAGATTCGACACTCTGCTTTTTGGTCAACTTTGCTTCTGTGAAACACTAAATCATCCCAGACGTCGATTTCTGGCTCTAGACGGATCTCTGGGCCAAATAGCGTGTCCCAAGGTATTTTGGCACAGTTATAGCATATCCGATGGCTGCGCTTGATGTCGTTGTTGGCGCAGGAACCCATTGGTAACAAGGCGTTGACTGCTTCCATCGTGGATCTGGTGATGTTCAGTATCGTGATCTCTGTTGGTACACCATTGGGCAAAAAATGGCAGGTTTCCGATAATTTGTCGTCGCTCAAGCGCTATGTGATGTGAAGAGATGATGGACAAGGCTGAGGATAGAGGGGTAGAAGGCAGCAACCATGCAACTGTGCCACCCGAATGCAGCACGACTTCTCGGCCCATGTCCAAGACCGAGCTCATGACCATATTCCAACCCTGGTGGGCGTCAAGCTGTCGCGAGTAGACTCGTTGCCGGTACGCCATCTCATTATAAGTCGTAGTTATCCACGACTGCGAACTGGTGAGTCTATCTGTTCATAAGCCGAAGCATTGATGAACGAGCTTTCCCAAGCCCCACTCAGTGCTGGGGCCCCGGTGGCTTGTCAGCCTACGTAGTGGGGGAGATTCGCTTGCGATGTAACGAGATGACGGCTGTCTGTGATCGGGCTGTGGCACAAGGGTCGCAGGTTGGGCAGCGGCTGCCTAACAAGAAGTCTAGATAGAGAATCAGCCATCGTATCTTTGCATCGGAATGTCACCTCGCTGTAAGATTGCGTAGCAGTAAGCAATGGAGTTGAGGCCTAGATGGTTCACTGACAAGGAAGTTGCCTTGACCCAGTTCCGAACCACCCGGGGCTGCTCCTGCCACGCCAGCTAGCACGTGGGGACAGAAGTACCCCAAGATTCAAACGGTTAGCTCGCCGGAATCGCTTCGTGAGAGCTGCTGGCTACTCCAAACCTCACACATGCCAATGAAAGAATAAGATAAGCTGCACGCAAGATGTCTCTCATTTTGCCTCTCCCTCCTCACATCCCCATCCATCACGCTATCTCCCTCTCCCCGCATTTCATCCAATTGTGTATATCATCCAGAACCCTCCATGACGCAAGTCAAGCAATCCAACACCCCCCTATCCAAACAAATCGAACATCTTTGTGATAGATCCAAAGTCTCGAAAGAAACACAAATCCAGTAAAAATATCCCGCGCCTGCCGTCATGCACTTCATTGCTCCGCAGAACGCCCAACAACGCCAGTTAGACTGCTCTTTGGAAGCCGTGAAAACCTTTTGCAACGCCGAAAGTGGGGGAATAGAGAATAGTAGCCTTGAGAGAGCTACGGGGGAGAACAACGGTTGTTGTAAAAGAAGAAAACCAAGAGCAATTAAATAGAAGCGAAGTGAATTGAGGTGAAGATGGCCGGTTCCGTTGCTTATCCGTTACTACGCTGTCGTGACTCTGAGCTCCAGAAACTTGGGGTTGGGGTTTTTTTGAATTGCGTCCTGTAGCTCTTTGTCATCTCTAATCGGGTGGGGGGTTTCTCTTATGTTGTCCCCGTCGTCCTCGTCGTCCTCGTCGTACGTGTATTGGATCCATTGGACCCAAAGCTTGTTATGTGGCTCACCGGGGCGATCCATTACTGTTCTCTGGACAAGCTTACTGTAGAGGTCGGCGAACTTGTGCGAATTGATACGTATGACGACGCAATCGTTTTCTCCGATCCAGGCCTTGATCTTGAGACCAGAAGACGTGCCTGTGCTGGTAGCGGTGGATGAAGAGGAGTGGGTGTGATTCATGGGTGGGGGGTTCAGATTCGATGAGTATGCCTGCGAGGCCGTAGATTGACCACGCTGATGAGAGGGGTAGTTGGATCCAGTTGAATAGGGTGTGACGGGTGTTGTGGCCTGCAACTGATCTGCGGACGACTGCCTGCTCGTCCCGTGTGAGGGGTTCGATGACTGGTGTGATTGTTGCGAAAGGCGGTACTCTTCCGCATCAACGATGTCGGGGTCTATCTCGTAGTCGCCCTGTCTTGGCGCAAAAAAGCCCTTGACGAGGTGACCTTGTGTGATGTGCGGTCCTAGCTTGAGGAGGTTCTTTATGTATTCGTCGAGGTTGGCGCGGCGCCCATTGGAAATGTTGTCGGTTACGTAGGTGACAGGCCCAGGCATGAAGGGCAGCGTTCGCTCGCCAGAGCCACTTGTGCCCGCTTCGACTGGGTACGTTGCTATCAGCTGTATCTGCAGGTCGTAAAAGTCCTGGTACAGTCGCTGCAACTCCCAGTGCCGGCCGTCCTCCATCTGGCACTCGATGATGAACCAAAAGATATCGTCGGCGAAACAGTAGCGTGGCACGCATGCCCTCCAGGGTGCAAGCAGATTGTCGGATGTGCGGTATTGGTTTCTTGGCTGTTGCGCCACGGAGCCGTTGCGTGAGTGGGAGACCTGTACGCTGTCAGCCGTGAAAAGCACACCCGCATGTAGAGGACTTACCGAGCCAGCCTTGTTGTGCCCGCCGTTGCTCCGAACGCTCATGCGCTCCATGCCCTGCTGCAGCGACTGTCCAGAATTCGTCTCGAGCTTTCCGAGCGGTATGCTGCCGTTCTTGTAGTCGGCCGCCATCTTCTTCCACTCTTCGACCTTGGGGACGCCCGCGGCTGTGACTGCTGCCTGTGTGTCGGCGACGGCCTGACCGGTCGTCATATCGCGGATTTCGATGAAGGATACGGGGATGAGGCCAGGACCGCCGAGTCGCGTTATCGGCTTTGCGACAAACCATTCGGGGTTCGACTGTGCGATGACGATGATAGCCTCGCCCTCCTTGGCCTCTAGCTCGTCCGGCCTCTCTGCCTTGAAGTCGTAGATGACGATGCCGTAGACCATGGCGCCGCGGCCGCCTCCGCGCGACATGCGCATTTGCTGGGTCATGAAGTCCTGTGCCGAGGGCTGCGGGCTCGTGATGCGTTCTTGGTAGCCTGAGTCGTGGGGCTGTTGTTGCTGTTGTTGCTGCGGTTGCTGCTGGTGTTGCGGCTGCTGGGGAGTGGAGGAGCGCGGCGCGGAGCCACCACTGTCGCGCACTGTCTTGCCTACGCCCTCAAAGTAGGAAACGGGTACCAGTCCGCGGGTGCCGTGCAGGGGATTGCAGGCCTCGTACCAGTCGCTGTCGTCTTCGCGCCCGACGACGTGCAGAAAGTCGCCCTGGGAAAAGCCAAGGTAGCCAGAATTTGGGCTCGGGTCGGCGGGCTTGTAGTCGTAGAGGGCTTTTATGACCTGAAATGAGATGGCTGTTAGCTTCGCGCTCATCTGCCCTATCGGGAAGCGGGTGCCGGGGCGCGCGCATCATGATATAGCGACATGTCGCGGCTTGCTCTGTCGTCGACACAGGCGCATGTTTGCTGCGCAGGCGCAGGCGCCCACACAATGCGCCTGTGTCGACAACACCAAACGCCTGCCCTGCCCTCATGCGCGCACGCCGCGTGAAGAAGCAGAGTGGGGCCCAAGCACCCCAAGCACCCCAACGCTGATCTACGTACCTTTTTTGGCGGGACAATGGCTATAGCGTCCTTGGGCGGGATGGAAATGTGGTGCGGGCGGTTGTCCTTCTCACTCTTCATACTCCTGCGGAACTAGAGCAGCACCGTTAGCACGTACGTATGCGGAGCGTGACTCGACGGGCGCAGCGGCGGCCGTGGCGGCAAAAGCAAGCAGGCAACGCACCTTCATCGTGCAGAGTGAACGCAACCTTGCGCGGCAGCAGACGGGGAAGCAGAGGAGAGGTCAGGAGGCGAGCGCTCGACGTGGAACTCGGGGGTCCTGCTACTGTGACTGTCGCCCGGGAATGCGGCGTGTGCGTGCGGGGGCGAGTACGCGGCGGAGGAGGGTGAATTTGAATCGCGCACCGGCCCTCAGAGACAATGGTGAGGCTACTTAGATAGGCGGCCAACGTCGTCGTCGTCAGGTACTGCCAGAGGCGCAGTCACTAGAGGAACAAGAAATGAGTGGGTGCTTTCACGCCGCGAGGGATCCCAGCCCTGCCAGCTGCAACCACTTGGCGATTCGTCTCTCGCGTCACACTCTATGCCTGGCACGCTTCGGAACAAACGAACTGCGGCGGGTAGCGCAAGGCGGCGAATTCCTTCGACCTTTGTTTGCGTGCGCTGACTTGCTCCCGGCCAGGAATGTGGAATCTCTACTAAAATACAATTATGCCCGACACGGTGGAGCATCCCACACCATCAGCCTGCCAAACGCCTAGCTGCAGGTCCACCACATTTCCGCCTCTGTCACCGCACACCGGCGCAGCCCCCAACATCCGCGCTGCATTTATGCCTTCGCGACCAATCATCCACCGGGCTAGCCCACAATGCTAATGCCTACGTTGGCCGTGTCATCATTTCCACATGCAAACCCAATCTCGACGCCCCTCTCCTGTCAGTCATCCATACTCCTCTTCAAATGTTATCCTCATGGTTGATGCTGGACGCGGCCCGACTGAAACATTCTCGCCCTGCGTGGCGTCGTAGTCTCCCGTAATCCTCACCACGCGGTTCACACGCGCTCACACTCTCAACACAAACTTCGTGAACCAATGCATTAACAACTATACGAACGCCCTAGATACTTCCAGCGGGTGTGACTAGCGCCAACTGCCGCTGAACAATTGCACCCTACCCAATCACAGCCTCGGAACCCTCTTCCGCCATCTCATTGGCTCGCTCAGAGCGCCTCTAGCCAATCTTCCAAAAGGAGCAGACCCCGCCACAGCCCAGACAATGCATACTCCAAAACCCAGCAGTCGTCACCTGATGGCCCACGATATGACCACATTGTCGTTCGATCTTCGCACATCCGTAGAGCATGCCGTCGTAATGCCCGTCTTCCCAACCCCACGTGCACTCGGACGCACCCGAGCCGAACTCTCTGTGACACAGGGACCACCACAACCGAGCCAGTGGGCTCACATCCTACATAGCCATCTAGACCAAGTCCACTCTACCCCATTTTGTTTTCCAACCCACTTCCTTCATGCACGCCCATGACGTACCGTAAGTTTACCAAAATCCATTTTGGTAGGTGATGAACAACATCTGAGACGTTGCATGTATGAGAAGCACACTAGAAGATTCCGCGCATCCAACGCATGAGGCGGAAACCCCATGTTCCGACTACTGACATCGGGAAAGAAGCAATCGATACCGGAAGGTCGCAGTTCGAGACACGCGTGACGTGCCATATGGCGCAGGGTATCGTGGTGAATTAGTGCAAATGAATAACTCGGAATCGGGATAATGATACTGCAGAAGATGAAAAGAAGTTTGTGCTGGCTCCGATGTCGATTCATATTTGGCCCTTGATGTCTACTTTGCTGAATGCGGCGGCACGCAGGCTTTCGAATTGAGATGCGGCTTCTCGGATCCTGACACGATATTGACCGTCGCCTTTGTCTTCAATGACGTTTTGTGCACCGTGGGTTTCGAGGAATTCACGGCATATCTCATCGTTGTCGAAACCAAGTTCGTCAGTGAGGAAGCGGAGTGTGACATTTACATATCTACAGCTTGTTAGCAAAAGACCTGCACGATTTGGAATCTGTATACATACCCTCTGGACATATTAGCTAGAGCATTGAGGCGCTCACGCTCGACGAACATGTCCATGAGATAAGCGCCCATGTTCTCTGCTTCGAGGTACAGTCTGAAAAACTTATGATAATTGCCAAGGGCAAGCGAAGACCGAACATCCAGAGCATGCTTGATCCATGGGTGGGATTTGTCTGCGAGGGTTAATTCTGCCAACATGTCGTTCATGTCGGTCTTGTTGCACGTATATACGAAGTAGAGAATGCGGTACGCCTTGAACTCAGCCGGGTTGCCTCCCAAGTTCTGCGCATACAGTGCCTTCAGCTGCGTCTGGCACTGATTATACTCACCCAAATCCCCCTTTTCTAATGATATCCGGGCGTGGATCTCATACACCTTGACAGTAAAGGCGTTCTTGATGTGCTGAACAGTAAGATCCTGGCGGAGTGACTTGAATTGATTACAGATGTAGTTGTAGTTCTTTTCCGCCTTCCACTTCTCCACAAGCATGGCCAAGGTCTTCTTGAGCACATGGAGCGGTCGGACGGTTTCAGCTTTGGGCGGGGCCGTAAGGCGGAAGTAGCTTTTCTCGAGATTTTCGTTCGTTCCAACAACAGGTCCAGTGGGCATTTCGTCTTCATCCTTACGCGATGAGCCCCATGGGGGCGTCGTCTTGGTGCCATTGTTGCCGAGCTGGAAGCGCTGTCGTCGCTTGTCAAGCTCAGCCTGGTCAAACTTACTTGCGGCATCCGAGAGGGCGTTCTTCTTCTGGCGCTTTTCGTTGTGTCCGTCGGCAAAGGTCATACGAGATGCTAGGTTAGTTTTGCGCCACGGTGGAACATTGGCTTGTGTTTGCTCGACTTGTGCATCCTCAGCTTCGTGGGCATTGCGCTTCTTTGATTGCGTTGGAGATGTGTTAGTGTGTGCGGCTGAGCCATTCATGTATGCAGGGTGTATGCCGTTGGGAACAGCAGTAGCAGGCATTCCAAGAGCCGCCGCCCTTCGTTCCTCCATGAGAAGCTCTTGGGGAAGAGGGAATGTAGGCCAATGAACAGTGTCGTGCGAGTTGCGCTCGGCGAACCAACCGATGGTTGTCTTTAATCGCGCCTGCATGTCTGCTTGGGAGATGCCTGGGATGGCGTTTTGCGGATCGAAAGCACGCCTAACGTATTCGCGGACGGCGGGAGGCCACTCGACCTTCTTCTTCGGAGCTTCCGGGGCCATGACTGGCTGCTGGCGGGTGTGAGCGTGGATTGGAACTCTCGTATAAGTGAGGAGACTAACAGGCGCGGGCGCAGGTTGGAGTGTGGTGCGTGGGTTGACTGCGTTATACGCGGGTGACTGCATTGGCCGGGACCAGGCTACAGTGGCAGAGGGCAACGACATAAGCAGGCAAGCAAATCAAAAGAAGTGAAAACCAGGTTGACTGTTGTGTGAGTAGGTAAAGGCGAGAAAAAGAGATGTGGGAGAGATGGCGCGGGGATGGATCTATTGTTGTGGAGGTGAGAGAGAGTGAAGCGACGGCCCGCTCGACTGATTTGCGTCGCAGTGGTCGCGCTTTGCTTGGCGACAACTAGCGTGGGTCTAGCCGCAAGCAAGCTAGCCCTGGCCAATGACGACTGCTGGGCTCGGGCCTGGTGAATGCAGGCGGGATCGGGTCATCGTCGACTCGACCCAATGCGATGGACGTACCTCGCATTTTCCAACTTGCGAATGGTCTGAATGTTCCTGCATCAACTCGACCTCACAACCGCACTGCGCCCGTCGCTCCTGCCGGAGGAGACGCTGCTTTTCGTCCAAGACGCCGTAGGGCTCTATGAGGGGTACGCGCATGCTCCCCAGGGCTCTTATACGCCGCTGACCAGGCACATAGGAAATTCAAGATCCCCCAGTACCAGAATGGCCAGTCATACTTGACGTCGCATCGCGTCTGCTATGTCGATCATAGCGAGCCGCGCAAGAGCTCCGTCGCTATCTTCCTCAAGGACGTCGAGAAACCAGAATTCTATGTGTGCATCCCTCTGCGTGCAAAGTAGAGGCACCCGACACTAACGACATACAGGCCGGCTTCCTCAAGTCGTCGCCCAAGATCACATTATATCCAAAGCCCCTGAAGCAGTTGACGCGTGGCGCGTCCGTTCCCTCGCATCCTCAGGCCACATCGTCGTTAACTCTTCCGCGACACAGTAGTCCGGCACCGCCGCCCCCAGCGAGCGCGACCTGGGTGTGCCCTATCTGCTCTTTCTCGAACCCGGTCCCGTCCAACTTCGACCCCGCGCTCGCATCACGTACACCCATACCGCCTTGTCTAGCATGTGGAATTAAGCCGCCGACCGTGCATGTAGTCAAGGCAGCCATAGCAGCCATCTCAAATAGACCAGCGCCTGGGCCACCTCCCAAAGACACAAAGGGTAGCGTTCCTGCTCCCGCAAGCGCAGGAGGAACGTCGTCATGCCCAAGATGTACCTACCAGAATCATCCTTCTCTGCTCAACTGCGAGATATGTGGTGCATCCTTGACAACAGCCATAGATAAGAGGTTGGACATGCTTCAAGAACCTACTAGACCGCAATCTCCAGGCCCGACCTTGTCTTCACCTTTGCAGTCCGAGTCTGTCGAATGCATCAAGATATCTTTCCGCGCCGGTGGAGGACCGATATTTTTCGAGCGCCTGAAGAACGCATTAGTCCAGCGCAAGTGGCTGCTTCAAAGCGCCCCACCGATTCCCAAGCCACGGCCGTCTTCCGGTAATTTTAACGACAGCTACACAGCCAACTCTGACGCTTCATCAATGGAGGTCGAACGACCTCGCGTGGTCGGCATTGCGGGGCTGGAGCGAAGAGGCCTGGAGCAGAGACAGAATAACGAGGCTATGATTGGGAGCGCTTTCGAAGACCTCGATGCGCTTATGACTTCCGCGAAAGAGATCATAGCACTGGCAGAACAGTTTGCATCACAGGCCAATCTGGGGACTAACGGCAGCTCGGAAGCCAACGCTTTAGCATCTCAGTCCGCTTCCGCACTCGGCCTAGTGACAACAAAAGACATGCTCGGTACGGGGTCTGGCTCTGAGTCGCTATACGTATCGGAGCTGTCAAGAAACTTGGCAGAATGGCTCACAGACGACACTCGAGGTATACTCAGGAAAGAGGGCGGTATTATGACTTTGGTAGATTTATGGGCTGTCTTCAACCGCGCAAGAGGTGGTGTTGAGCTCGTAAGCCCGGCCGACTTTGAGAAGGCAGCTCGAATGTGGGATACGTTGAAACTTCCCGTGCGCCTCCGTCAGTTCAAGAGCGGGTTGCTCGTCGTACAAGGACGCGATCGCACCGATGAGAAGACCATTGCGAGTCTGCTGGCATGGCTCAAGACGCTACATCAAGCACCACCAAGCATGGAAGTCACCTGGGACTGGCAAGCATTTGGCAGGGGTGTCACTGCTCAAGAAACAGCAGAGCGATTCGGCTGGAGCGTTGGAGTCGCGACGGAAGAGTTGGAGATGACTGAAGAAGCCGGCGCACTGTGCCGCGAGCAGGGCATCGACGGTTTCAGATTTTGGGAGAACTGGCTGGTCGACATGCCAGAAGTCACTGCCGGCGTCTGATAACTTAGAAAGGTGGTTGTTCGTATCTCATAAAAAGAAATACCAGAAGCCCTAGCTAACACTGTATTGACAGTGGGTCCAATAAGACGTCTTACCTACCCTCAATGACTTCGCTTATGTCCTTCTCGTGAGATGAGAAATCCGAGCCATTTCGCGTTCATGTCGGTGGCTTATTATGAACAGTTTCGAGGAATAGAGTGCGAATATCCGCAAGTGTACGGTACCTACGGGTTGCATGTGCCAGCATCGTCACGCAACCGCTTGAGCAAACAGCTATCCCCACGAACAAGCGAATCAGAATTGCATACACCGATCACAATGCAACTAGGCACCAGCCGCGGGAGTGACCGCGTATCCACCGCCCTCTCTGACGGGGGTCCGAGCTCGGCCCATACCATGCCCACGCACCCCGCGACATCGAGCCTCACTCTTGCAACATCTCTCCTGCATCCACCAACCTTACACCACTAATGACGCCTCCCATGCCGGCCAAGTAAGTATTGTTGAGTGTTGCGATCGACTATGATCTGTTATAGTAGCTAATATATGTGATATAGGGCCCGTAGATGGAACGCGAAGACAGTACAGGCGGTCGACAGCAAAGGCGCAGGCAAGAGCGCTGGCATGAAGCGAGCCATTGGCAATAGCAGCTCCGAGCCCCCAAACAAACGGCGGAAGGCAGCAGCATCCACCAAGAAAGATGTCTCCGTACCGGAAGCCAACAAGGCGGACGATCCATGGGTTGTAAATCCGGATCAGGTGTTCAGATTCATGGACCTACCAGGAGGTTAGTCTCTACCATCGGCGTAGTGCTCGAGTTGTTGTACTGACCCCATACAGAGTTGCGCAACCGGATTTATGGAATGGCGATCGAATGGAGCTTCCGCTGCTTCCCTAATACCCATGAAAAGCCAAAGAAATCCAGACGCGGAAAAGCGATTGAGGAAAAAGCACCTGCCATCACCCAAGCGAAACCCCTTCCTTACATCGGCTTGACGCAAGTCTGTTCTCTCATCCGTACTGAGTTTCGTCCTTTGTGGCTATCCACCCATCAGTTCCCGCTCTTTGCACTGGATGGTTACTTCAAAGCGTTCTTTCCGGTGTTACGCGGAGGGTCACGATTAAGCGAAGACGTTCGGAAACGGATCAAGGGTTATTCCAAAACGACTGGCACCCTGCGTCTCTGGATCAGAATGGACTGCTTGAAACGCGTTGATGTCCTCCCACTTCTCAAGTTCAGGCACCGGTTCCCCGAGTACATCATAACGCCCAAAGCTGCCCAACCCAATGTTGAAAAGCTCACCATGGACTCGTTCACAGCTCTCATGAATACCGACAATGCGACCTGGGTCAGTTACATCAAACAACACCGCGTTACGCAGGTTAAGTTGCAAATCAGCCGTTACGAGGTCCGATCCTCCAACTTGCCCATGCGCATTGTTCTCAAGGAGAAGTACGCGCTCGACTGGATGGGATCGGGCTTCGTTCGCCTGCCCCATGTTGTGGAAGAGTACAAGGAATTCTTGGGGCTCGACCCAAGTTGGGGTGTTACTTTTGCCGTGGATTACTCATGAAGGGCCAATTGCGCGCGATGAGCAACAGAGGTGCCCAAAACCTCGGAATACTTCTGTTACGGCGTGCGGAGGAAGTGTAGGGTACACTTATCGATCTTTACGTGGTACGGCGGCCATGTCTCCTTTTGTTCTGAGACATGGTTTCACGTATGGCCGCTAGGCCTTTCCGTCATAGACCTACTAGTCGGGAATACTCCACTCTACTTTAACAGCCAAAGGTCTACAATTGAGACGGCGAGGAGAGCATGAAAGAATATATTCAATTATGAAAGATAGTCTAGATGCATACATCGTGTACCATGAAAAAATACGGCTGATCTGCAGGAATGCCGGTCGTGCAGCTGCTCAGCTGGTGACATGTCATGGCGCGTGACGTCATACCAAAACGCCTACCAGCACATGCCATAAACCTTAACCAGCATGTATACTTCCGCATTCCACCACTCCATGACTACGACTGCATCTTCAAGACCACTTTAGATGGGTTATCTGGGAATGTTAGAAGTCGTTTCGATACCAAAGTGGAGGATACTCACCCCCAAGAAGATCCGCAAAGACCCCTCCATCGTCTACCATCAGAGGCGCGTCTGCACGTTTTCAGTATGAGCATGATCACATCACCGCAATACACATACTGGAGAACTTCAGTTGGTAAGAATCACCATCCTGGCTTGCAGTAACTTTATGCACGGGCATATCGGTGTCTGCCTTGAACCACCACACTTGCTTTGGAAGGAAGCTACGGTCTTCTACCATGGCTCGTCCAAGAATGTGACCGTCGCACTGCAGACGGCTGCCCTTGAGTTCAAAGACGGCTGCGTCCGTGCCTGTTTTCGCATGCGTCTTGTCTTCGGCGTTGCCGTCGACCTTGGCGATGGGACTGCCATCGATTTCGATGGTGAAAGGGGCGGGGAGGCTATCCATCTCTTTTGACGAGAAGATGTGGAATGATATCAGGATCAGAGAAAATAATCCAAATGCCCACAAGAGGTTGCGACGACCTTTCGAATCAGCTGGCATTCGTTCTGGATGTGATGGGTATTGCAGTGCAGAGAGTTGAGATGGTGTCAGGAGTATTAGTAGCAGCTGCGCCACGCATAGTGTGCAGGCAAGGCAACAGTCGAAGTACCTTGCATATGACGCAGACTCCGGATGAGGCTGAAGGCACTGCGCTAGTATGTCTGCATGGCGTTATCTGGCATTCATGCTCGGCGCATCAAGAGACATGTTGACGAGAGCAATTTACGTATACAGTGGCCTTATCGAAGCAGAGTTATGTTGACTATGGTACCGAGGCTGGACGCGGACGCGGCCGGGCGCTGAACACAACGTTTCGACCGCCATTGTTTCTCGACCACTTCACATGCGGTGAACCACCGGCGAGCACTGGAGATCTCCATACCAGCCATACTATGTGCAGGTTTCAGCGCCGTTGTGTAGATCGATACTACCTCCGGCAGTCTGCCGGCTCACGCGCGCGTCGCCAAGACGTTAAAGCTCCGCCCTACCAATAGCTCCTCCATCTCCTGCCTTTCCTGGCCCAGAGCCGGTGTCACCCAGCGAACGCCATAATGCGACATCCTGAATGCTCGCCATCTCCGACGTCGCAATGTGCATGCCGGGGCCAAGTGCGCGAGTGTTTTGCTAGCAGCCCATGCGGACCTATCCGTTGTGGCAGGTCAATCCTCCTGCCTTTTCCCCACTGGCGTACTAGTCACGCCTAACCCAACATCAACACACTATTCGTCCCCCGACAAAATGGCACAAATCACGTACAATGCCGATCATGTAGGGCAATATACACAGCCTGCATCGTGGTTCGCCTACCACGAGATGTTACAGGAACCTGGTCGGCGCTTGTGTCGGTATGCACACCACATGTGGCAAAATCTCTTGCCTCTTCAGGAGACAACGCATGACGGCGCGATAAGATCGCGTCGATTCGATGGACTCTACGAGAACCAAGACTATGGCAAAGGAAATACGATGGTACTTCGGCTTTACTATAGCCAGGATATGGAACGGCGTCACAACCTCCTGCTGTCTAGGGAACAGCGTCGCTGTAACGGCCTTGTTGCGACATACCCCGAGTAGAAACAACCATGTTTGGCGGCTATGTTACGGTTGCCTGAGGCCGTGAGAGGAAACAGTCTTATTTCCGACATGTTTCAAGCACAAGAGATGGCTGAGATCGCAGCCCTAAGCTAGAATGAGACAGGGGCGAAAAAGCAACGATCTGGAGAAGCGGACCTGCAGACTGCAGCTGTGAGGCAAAACTCGCCTTGATCCTGGTATACGGGAGCAACCGCTAGATCAGCTTCGTCCTTCACATTCGTTGTGAGGTAAATAGCCGGAAAGCTTATACTACACGCAGATAACGTACCTACATGGACAGGGTCACCTAGCACGCACCGGCGCGCCAAAGGTACGATGGGCGGACTCTCGTTAAGACTTCGCCAAGCCGAAGCGGACCCCCAATTCGGAAGGACAAAGTGCACACCTAGTCGATCACGCTTGGCGACTCCGGACAACACGATGGAGACACTGCACTGGATTGCGTGTTTGATGATCAGGGGATGATGGTCTGTGTATAAGTATAGAGTCACTTCCCTTTCTTTTCATCATCAGCCAGCTCAGTCAGTCGCTTGTCTCTTCACTTTAATCACTTCACAGTCCTACTCCGTGTAGCCTCATTCACTCGAAACAATCATCATGCGTTTCCAATCCATCATCGCCATCGCGCTCCCTGCGCTCGTCCTTGCGGCTCCTACTCCTCAAGACCCCGAGTACGAGTTCCCCGAGGATGCTCCCGTTGACGACATTGTCGGTGGAACTGCCGCTGCCTCTGGTGACTTCCCCTTCATTGTCAGTCTTCAGAAGAACGGACAGCATCTCTGCGGTGGTTCGCTTTTGGACGCCACCACCGTCGTCACTGCTGCTCACTGCTCCGTGAGCTCAGTCATCGGCTCTGTCAGCACCCTCAAGATCCGTGCTGGTAGCCTGCAAAAGGCATCCGGCGGTACATTGGTTGGCGTCTCATCCGTCACCGTCCACCCCAACTACCGCAGCTCGGGCCAGGACTGGGACGTCGCCATCTGGAAGCTCTCTACTTCCGTCGCTGCCAGCGGCTCCATCGGCTATGCTCGCCTTCCTGCTGCTGGCTCCGACCCCGCTGCTGGATCCAACGCCGTCGTTGCCGGCTGGGGTGCTCTCACCGAGGGCGGCAGCAGCCCTGCTGCTCTCCAGAAGGTCACCGTCCCCATCGTTTCCCGCGCCAGCTGCCGCTCATCCTACGGAACCTCTGCCATCACCACCAACATGATCTGCGCTGGTTTCCCCCAGGGTGGAAAGGACTCCTGCCAGGGTGACTCTGGCGGCCCCATTGTCGACTCCTCCAAGACCCTCATTGGTCTCGTCTCCTTCGGCAACGGCTGCGCTCAGGAGGGTTTCCCCGGTGTCTACGCCCGCACCTCTGCTCTCCTCTCCTTCATCAACTCTGTTTAAGCGTTTGCTGAACGGATTCTTGCTCGCTACTGAATCACGACAATGGATGGATATGGCTCTTCAGCGAAGAGTCGGATGATTGTGAACGACGATGATATACCAAGTGGTCAGAGGTTTCATGAAGCCTCTTGCAAAACCATGTTTTGATACGCCTTTTTTGTATATATCCATTAGCTACGAAATGCATTCAATAACTTCAAACATTCCGCTCAAAATTCATTGTAACATGCCTGTGACATCATTTTCACATCAGCCGACACCAACGATCATGATTTTGTTAACACCATGTATTCTTTTTTCCTGGGACCCGAAAATACAATCTATACGAGACCAACGCATGCGAAGCCACGTGTGCTTTCCCAACACCATCCTATGACGTATAACTCAACGCTTCTGTACCAGCAATCGGATCCCCTCGAGCCTTTTAGACAAAACGGTGTGGGAAGAACAAAAGAAGTGCCCGTTGGGCGGGATGATGCTTGTGGGGCTGAGAACAACACAAGCTTCGCTGTCGCACATTGCTTTTTACTACTATGTTTAGACATGTTTTGACTCGTGTGTCAGAACACTGAGAGAAAGAAGAGCCACAGCTGGCGGTATAGGATAAACTGTTTGCGATCGCGATCGCGCAGTCATGATGCTGGTCTTTATCGTCTTTTGATCAGGCGCGCGGAAAAGCAAAACATAGGTTGTCACCATCTTGATTTGAAGTAAATTTTCTGGAAGCAAAACTCATCGGGTACACGTACCGCAGAAGAAGCAATCATGGTTTTGTGAACACTTCGGTATGGACACACCATGTGCGACGGCGTGTGCCTTTTCTATGTAGAACACTGGCTGTCACGATGATGTGAGACCTCTGGACATCTAACCACATGGCCAGGTATGCGGATAGTTTTGGCTCACAGCCCAGGAAAGACGTGTTTAGGTCGTGGTTATGTTTTCAATCTAGATATCCGGTGCATGAGAATCTCTTTGCAGCGCCTGGATCAAAGCGATCACTTTCTTTCAACATGACATTGTATCCGAGCTTTTTGGATAAAAGGGCAAGAACTCCATAAGTTGTCGAGATAACTGTTTGGAGTATGCAGTAGACACAAGGCGTGTAGCCTTGCGCTTTTTGGTAAAATCGGAATCAGTGTTAATGAAGAAGAAGACTTCGAGAGAGCATACGGGAGTCTTTTATATGCCCCGGTCGCAAGACCGGCTTCTAGCTCAACGGTATAACCGTTGCAAGACCGGGGTGCTTGTTGCACATGAAGTGATCGCTAAGGGTTTTGAAGTCAACGGCAACACACTGTACGGAAGCTGTTGTTCTTGCTCAATAATAAGGTCGCAACACATTACATTGATTCCCTGTGATTCTTGATATTTTGCAGTAATTGAATTTTTGGAAACGCGCTCCATAAAGAAGCCACCTGTCAACTTTGGAGAAAGCACACGCCATGTCTTGATATTGGTCTTCTTTTGGTCCACAGTGGTGGAACAATGTTATGAGGAGAAAAGAGAACCCCAGCACATAGAGCTGGAGCATTCAACCTTTTGAGCAAAGTAGGGGTGTACTGAACAAGAAGTCCAGTTGACAGCAGAGAACATTTAAGTACTGGCAGTAGTTTTATCGGCGACGGCCTCACATCCAGAACTTGTCCTTGGCTTTTTGATAATGGTAGATGAACACAGCAGCCGAATCAGCCGCACATGTGTATAGGTCCTGCTCTATTTTGAAAAGACAGGAAGCGGACATAGCCATGATACCTTGAAATTTTGGACAAGGCTCAGGGAGCATGAACAATAGAATGGTGGCTTTCCATCTGCTATCGACGTTTATATATCTTGAGCATCATGTCGGAGATGCATGTTGAAGGTCCATATCAATGGGTACGAAACATCGAACGGGTTTGTGGAATCTTCGGCGGTACGATCTTTCGATAATACATGTCCATAGACTGTTTATACTTTGAATAAATGAAGGGCATCGGACGTTGACGCATCAGTCTTTTGGCGGGCTGTTTTTGGAAACTCAGAAAACAGACATACTCACGTTCTATGGTTGTTTTCGAAACGGGTAAGGGAAACCGAAGAATATAGGAGGAACGTAGGTGAGCAGTAGGTTGACCTTTATATAGATGGACTGGCCAAGCGGAAACGTGACATGCATGATCGAGTGACTATTTTCAAAAACATATAATGATAGTCCCATGTTGATCGATGAGTGTTCAAAAGAAAGCACACATTGATTTATGTGATTGACGAGATTCTGTAATGGAAGAGCGCCTTGGTGGTCGCTCCTCTCGGGTATTGTAGATAGTAGAATATACATGAACTGAACGAACCCACATCTCACCATCGTACACGCACTTCTTCATTCCGACCTTCGTGTCTCACATGCATCCCCACTGAGTCGTACTTCTTCAGTACCTTCCGCTTTCCCTTCGTCCGACACCAAGGCTTCCATACGGGTTGCTTCTGCCCAAGCTCGCCGACTGGCCTAGAGTCTTCTCGCCGCTCTCCCTCGC